GGTCAAAAGCTGAAAAGTTTGGGAACCACTGCACTTTGGTTCCCAAAGTTGGGCTTGGGACCCAATTATGGGTCATGAAGCACCTTGGATAATCACCAGAAATCAATTTAAATGGTAATAAAATAATTGCTGATGTAATATTTTCCCTACAACTATTACAAAAACACAAAATATGTATTTATATTTGTGAACAAGCTGTTTAGATTGTCAAAAAGCCTGTGTTTTTAGGATAATTAACGAAGTTCATGTACTCAGACCAGTAATATTTGGGGTCACAAGTTTTGCCATGAATATTTTGTGGGTCAGAAGATAAAAATTTTGGGAACCACTGTTTTAAAGAAGAGAAGACTTCTATAAGACTGATTCATGCTGAACTATACTGTTTGACTCATTGGCGCCTCTAGCGTTTGAACATGGAACTGCACCCAGCATCATTGCTCTCAGCCAAAGGACAGATGAGTGACAGGACAGGGGCACTTCAAGGGGCCAATCAGATTTCAGCAGGGGCCAATGCCCCTGTGGCCCCGCCCCTAGAACCGCCCCTGATTCTACACTTCTGTTGAAATATAAACACTGCTCTGACGGGCCAAATTTAGTTTAGCTAACGAGGAATTATAAGATTAAATCCAGCTCTGCGAACAGAAAAAATTCTGTTAAATAATGATGATCATGGAAAATGATAAAATGTTAAATCTAACAGTAAAAGTAAAATCTTAAATTTTATGACAAATTGATAAATTTTACATTTTTCAGAATGGAACGCAGCCTTTGCTGCTGGTGCACGGTTTTTGTTGTGACATCATCCTATGACCAAATCTGACGCTTCTAATGCTGCTGAAGATGGTATTTACCCCTGTCTGCACCCTGTTTACACCTGAACTTCAACATTTAAAGGTCATCAGTGTGAACACCTCTACAAATAAGCTGGGTAACACTTTCTTTTACGTTACCCTTATTACCATGTAATTACAAGGTAATAAAAATGTAATTAAATGTAATCACGACCTTATTACATGTAATTACGTGGTAATTAGGGTACAAAAGAAAAACTACTGTTAGTAAAACTACCTATATTGGGTAACTACAATCAAATTACTATTCAATAGTAACTCAACACTATAACAAAAAGAACGCAACTAAATTTTGGGGTTAGTGGTTAATTGCAATGAAATATAACTTTAAAACTGTCCAAATTACATATTACTTATTTAGGTATTACATGTTGTTGTAATACATTACCAGGTAAGTGCTACACTACTGCAGACAAGTAATTACATAGTAAAATTGTACCCTAATTACCACGTAATTACATGTAATAAGGCAGTAATTACATTTAATTACAAATTTTTTCATTACTTTGTAACTACATGGTAATAAGGTAGTAATTACATTTAATTATAATTTTTATACCCTGTAATTACATGGTAATAAGGTA